TACATGGTTGTTGTTTTGGCTATAATTTTATCTATTACATGGTTGTTGTATTGGCTATAATTAAAATTAGTTTTTTTGTGCTCTGATTTATAATCGCTTCGTTGTTGTAGCCTTTTTTACGTAAATATACAAGTGAGAATATCCTCATCATTTCGACCTCTTCCCTTGGTTCAACAAAACAAACTTGGGGACGTAGCGTGCGACCGATTGCCGTGTGACCTCGGTTGCTCCCATGGATCTCGGCGACTGGAGAGAGAAGCGTGCCGGGGTGAAGCTGGGAGTTCTTTTTCCCTTCCCACCCTCCTTTCCCCGCCCCGAGCAGAAACCCAGATTTTAGTTGAATTACGTCAAAAGGGATTTATCACTTCCACGTCGTGCCTTAGTAATATAATGCTGGGTAATGCGCAGTACCCAGGGATGATGCCACTGCTTGTGAGATCGGGTCACCGATATTTTACCGTGTACCATACGTGTGCAGCCCTCTTGGGAGGAGGTGCCTCCACATTGCCACTTTGGATGTGGGGGGTTATTGACCGTAATTCACCACTCCAATCGGCGCGGGGTCGGTGAAGGCAGGGAGCATGGTATGGTACAATGGGAGATATTGCTGCACTGCTACTTACCACGTAGCTCCCCAGCGGCCTATGACACCTATTTTATGTGTGGTCGCGGGCCATCCAAATGCTATGCAGGCTCATTCCTGCACAGCTCCTGAGATCTGATTAAAAAGCCAAATATTTTGAGTGATTTAAGTCATAGAATTACCATGTTTGTGGGTCAATGTGTAAGAATGTGAATGGCACTGTAGCTGGTGTATTTTGTACTGAAAATTCCAGGCGATAAGACTTACCCTTTGAACGGACTGTACTATTTATTGACCTACATTGTCATGAAATGTGTTGTTATGAAATATGTTGTTGATAGTTTAGTGCACGCGTAATTTGATTGTATATGATTACTCTTCACACGGTGCCTATGTACGTATGCAATTTAATTCAGGCAGTGTTTTGGACAATGCATATAAAACACATTTCGAGTAAAGGATCCAAAGATGAGCCCCAAAAACACATATCTCCTATTTTAGACGCTTCATTAAAGATTGCTGGAGCAGTGAATCATTGTTAAGCCACTTTGCTCTGAAGCCTAACTACCTGGGTTTGATCCCCGGCCACAATAAAAGTCGGTAGCAAGTGATATCTGAACCAGTTCTGCACTCCGCCTACCCACGAACTCCGGTCATGCTCACAGCAGTGGCTTTTGGCTAGCCATCGAACAAAGATGGTCACCGTATCGCGCTTTCAGATGCGCTTCTGCGGCTATCTGGAACGTTCTTCCTTCTGGTATTAGGAGGCCACTGGAGCTATGCACTTTTAAATCCAGATTGAAAACGATTTCTTTAGAACTGCTTTTATGTTGAGTTTGTTGTCCCTCCCCCAGCATCTCCCAATTAGCACGGTTGGCTACGTACGGTGCGAAAGAAGTTCAACATACATACATACACACACTCGACCCCTTCACCAGCCCGCACCGGGCAGCATGGTGAGGTATGGCCAAAGACGGACCGTACACGACGTCGAACTAACGACGGCGTGCCGTCCGGTGACGAGCGCAGGCGTGGAGAGGCTGATCAGGCACCTGCACGGGCACGGCGTGCCCATGGCCGTGGCCACCAGCTCGGCGCGGGCCACCTTCCAGATGAAGACCACCAACCACGGCGGCCTCTTCTCGCTCTTCCGCCACACGGTGCTGGGCGACGACCCCGAGGTGCGCAGCGGCAAGCCGGCGCCGGACGCCTTCCTGGTGGCCGCTCACCGCTTCCAGCCGCCCGCCCGGCCCTCGCAGGTGAGCGGCCAGGGATGTGACCCCCTGCCAGCGCACCCCCCTCTCCTGTGCTGACCCCATCGTCTAGAGCTCCTTCCTTCCTGCTGGCTGTCTGCTCTGCAGGCTCCCAGCCTTTGCACGGTGTCTGGCCGTCTGCTCAGCAGGCTTCAAGCTTCCAGCCCTTGCACGGTTACCTGGCAATGAGACGTGCCTCCGATAGCCGGAGGTGGCGAGAGGACAGTGACAAAGACCATTTGCGCTCTGCGATGTGTCTTCGGCTTGTACTGCGTGTTCTTAGCGAAGGGAGTCAATGCATGCTACACGGCCTGACTGCAGCTAGCAGATAAGAAGTTTACTCCATAATATTGATGCTTTGTGAGTAAATTGTATTTTAGTTAGGGTAAAATACATCAACTTGAATACTCTACAATATTTCATGCTAACTTACATGGAGTATGAATTAACTTGGAGTCTTACATGGTTACCGCAATGTTACTATTGTATAAAAACGAATGGAAGAAAAAAATATTTCTCAATGAGATCTTTCAAATTTTTTAAATTCCAAAATCATTTAAATCCACGAACACAATATAGATTAGCAGGACGTATATATGTGTATGTATGTGGAACTTCTTTCGCATTGTACATAGCCAACCGCGCTAATCAAAGGTGTGGGGCACGTGACCAAACGTCCCCTCTAGGGCCCCGAGGATCAAATGACCACACCTTCGCCAAGCCCGCGTCAGCTGTCATACAAACTCGGGCTGCGCAGCAGAGTTGCTACTCGTATGATTACACGTTAAATTAACCCTTTCCCTTTCCGATGACGTCTGCAAGTTGCAGAGTGGGTCCCGTTCACTGCTGAATCTCGAAAGATGAAAGCGGTTAGCGTTGATTTTATTTAGAGAGGCGTAGCGACGTTGTTTTTAAATACATTGCATTCACCGCAGAGAACTGTAGCGACACGACCGCACTCTATGTTAGCTGACGTCAAAATATGCCTTGGTACGTCTTCCGATAAAGTTATTTTATTTTAGGTTTTCATCCAATTCCATTCCGCGTATGATCGTTGACACCACTAATGATCGTTGTATGCGGGGTTGCTGACGTAATGCGATCGCTGTACTGAGGTAGGAATCCACACAAGATAATACGTTCCGACAAACCACGTTTGTTTTGAACGGGCAATCTTTATGAGCAGGGTTCCTTATAAAGCGGTAATACCTACAATGCATAATTTAGATATACTTTTATGCATAAAAGGCATAATAGATAACTTGCTCAGAGTGATTCTAGTCCCTGTTCAAGTCTAGGCTCCCAGGTTCAAGAAATACCTCTTGTCCTTGACCTATGTATATATATACACGCGTGCCTCTCTTTGATACATGATGCACATCACACTTAGTCATCAGCAGAATTACTTTAAATTGCGATTCATGTTATATATTTTTGTTCATGATTTGCGGAAAAAATTCAGTACGCGTGGTAACTAGTGTACGCACATTTGTGCACAAATCTCTAATTGAAAGTCTAATTTATAGGCATGTCAAGATGTATCGATTCACTATTGAACTTATATTGTTACACTCACAATGCCTGCGTCGAATCACGTGTGCACGAATGTTGTAAATGTTGTTTGTCACATGGTCACGTCAACTTTCCGGAATCGAGAGATGCTGAAAGTTGTTCACAATGTCAACAAAGTCCTGTTACACATTATAAATAGGTTAATGTGATTGAATGTCATTGTAATGTGTTGCTATTCAAGCACAAATTGTTATGGGACACGCAGACGAATTTCACACCATCACTTTTCGCTTTTGGCCAGAAGGTGAAGTTGATTTTGTTTAACCTGGTGAGATCGCAAAAAACCAAGCTAGTCTAATTTGCAAGCATGACCTGGGGAATTTGTCTGATTGCTATGATATAATCCCAATTAAAGAATATGAAGTATTATTTTTGAATTTGGAAAATGTTGACTCTGATGCCGGCACACAACGGCCTACTCTTGCCAATGGCAACGGGGGATCTTTGACTTCCACAGTGAAGCAGATGGCACGTGATATTGTGGTTATAGTGTACTAACCACTGCACCCACCGCTCCGCTTAATTTGCATTACGAGTGATGAATTTGAAAGAATTTGGATCAATTATAAATAGTCTTGCTTGTACTCATACTTTAGGTGTCAGGACACTTATTAATGTCACTATATTCCCCTGTTAGGCAGTGCATTGAGTAGCATCACTTAGCCTAGAAACACCGTTGCTTGTAAGTATCATAAGCTAATTGTATTCCGCATTTTAATTAAGAGCTCACCCTTGTTTGATTGGTTGTGTTCTGTCCTTTAGCTGCCACTCTGTTATTACTCACGACCGGCTGCATACAGTGTGCCATTTCTGCTCACCACACTCGCGCGAGCTAAATCGTCCCTGCACTTGCGTTTTCGTCCGACAGTGCCTGGTATTCGAGGACGCCCCGCTGGGGGTACAGGCGGGGCTGGCGGCCGGGATGCAGGTGGTGATGGTTCCGGACGAGAACCTGGACTCGAAGCTCACGGCCGGCGCCACGCTAGTGCTGCGCTCCTTGCAGGACTTTGTGCCAGAGTCGTTCGGGCTGCCGGCGTACAGCGACTGAGCGAACGATCACGTGGGAAGGGCTGAAGAAAGAGAGCGGCCGTTCGAATAATGCTGGGTGATGGCGATGGTTTGACTGGCTTACAGGGTCTTCTTCTTACTTATGTTGTGGGGTTGATCAGGAATGTGCTTAAATGTTCGTGTCCAGGTTGGCGAGTGAGCAAGTGGGTGGCTTCAGGAGTAACCTGGTAAATGTCTGAATCGCGGCTGGCGAATGAACGAAGCGAGCGGTGTGTGGGGAAGGTCATGTGGGCGCCCTGGGAGAAAGGAATCTGTGCGTTCCCCCTGTGTTGAGATTAACACTCTAAAGTTTACAAACTATACTACAGTCGGTGACTGTAATTCTCTAAAGGATTATAGAACTTGCAAATAAAAAAAATCTATGTACTATACAGTTTTTCGTCGTACTAAGTTTTTTATTATTATTTACGTTTCCCAGAATAAATAAAAAATTCTGGAATTAATACCGACCCACGGATTACATCAATGGCAAGTGATATCTGAACCAGTCTTGGGTGCATCTTTCACCAATCCACACTGGTGAAATATGGTCAAACAATCCCCATGATTGACACGGTGTGGGGGAGGCCTCCCAGCCAGTTGCGGATTTGCAACGGGATCATATTTCTCGTTTCATGAAGTGCATGGTACGTATGAAAGATTCTACGCAGTTCCTGGCCAGTGGTTGACACTGCAAACGGTAATCCGCTAAATGTTCGTAATATACATGACCGATTCCACAAGTCGGGAACCGCCAACTTTTCTCTAGAGAAAATTTGGAATGAATGCACCAATTGGCACGCGTGAACGTACAAACCGCACACTGCGTGCTACTGGCCAGTGGGCAGGCACCTGCCAGCACCTACTCCAGTCTAATTAAGTCTCCGTGTGGTCCAGCCTGTGCTATAACACGGTAGTTGTGTTCCTGAAGAACACTGCGTTATGGAAATATTGTGTTATAGGGTAAAGAACAGTCCGCGATAACGCGTGAAATGCGTACGCAGGCCGAACAAAGACTGAGGCGCATGGATAGCACCTGGGAGCATCTAGCAGCATCCCAAAGCCTTGTGTGACGTTACGCCGAGACAGCCGTTCGACCGCTTATTCCTCATGCGACGTAGTTCTGTCCGCTCGATCGCGTTATATCCAATTCGCATCCGTGTTATAAAAAAGTGTTCCCAAATACATTCGCCGTGTTTTATCCAATTCGCGTTATGAAAACAACACGCGGCGTGGTAGCAGAATTGACTGGACGTGTTTCAGCTAAAGGTGCAGCCCTGCAATTGCTCGCTCGTTCCACCGGTGGTGGAAAAAGCCTCCGCTAGACTGACCAGAAGATGGAAGACGAGAGCATACCCACATGTGACCCCCACCAAGTGAATAACTTGCCAGTTTACTTTAACTGCGGGGTACACATTGTGCTGCTGCGTGGACAGAAACAGTTCCCTTTCTCGGTTAAAAAGGTAAAATGTTATGTTCATTGTACATGACATTGCTACACGTGGGGGAAGTTGGAAACAGTTTTTATTTGACCGTTTTGTTTTCCACTCGGTCATAGGCAATGCAAATAAAACCGGGTTTGGCAACCCGAATCGATACGAACGACACAAGAGTGGGAGCCAATGCAGAAAACGCGTCTCGGAGGACATCCACAGCAGAGATGGAGGGATGAGCTCGGCTCCCGTGTAAGGGCTAGAGCCTTTGTAAAACACGTTAATTGTTGCATCACAAGGCCACGAGGGATGGCAACTAAAACTACACTTAGTTTATTTTACCAGGTCAGGCCCCACTGAGCTCATTTTGAGAAGCGACCTGGCTACAAACGATAGCTCGACGAAGCGGCTTATCTGTGTGGACATTTACAGCGGTCAAATACAGTACTCAGTAAATGCACGCTTCTGAACGTGTAAGGAAACCCCAGAGCACCCCGAGAAAAATCCACGCGACCACGGAGAGACGAAAACTTCAAATATACAGCAGGCGTGCAACAACTTTGGGGAGGCCTTCATCCAGCAGTGGGTAGATCAGAGCGCATGCAATTGACGGTTGCGTGCGATATTACGGCTCTCATTTAAATGTTTCACATCCAGCGTTCCATGTAAGTGAAGTATAAGCAGAGACTGGGCACCCTAGACGCCTTTACATCGGTCGCACAAATCCCTTCTTGCGTCTTGCAGGAAGGGATTTGGGAAATGGAACTGCCAGGGCTCCAGCAGCCGCTGTGGCGACATTCCTGCGGTGACTCCGTCTCCTGCCAGCAGGTGGAGGCAGCCTCATCAATTGCAAGTGCGCACGTTAACACAAATAATGAGGTAATGGTATCACGAGACGCACTTAAGATGTAAACCAAACACGCGTCCAACGTACAGCGTACGTTGCACTGTATTTATATGCTGTTTATTTAACTGCGTCATTGTTTGGTTAGGAACTAAGCTTGTTTTCTCTTTTTAAGAATCGTCGCCAATCGGCAATGATCGATCCACTGCTGGATGAGAGCCTCCCGCCTGCCGTCGCCACCCCCATGGTTAACGTTTGTTGTGTTTTTTCTCACTCCGAGTCGACTACAGTGAGGTTTGAGCCATGTCCGAATGAATGTTAACAGCAACTGCGTAGAATCGGGCTGAAATCTTCGGGTATTTTACCACCACCACCACCACTACCCATCATCATGATGAACAAAGGCTGTGTTTCATTTCTACGGAAGCGTTACATTCCTCAGGCTAAAGGTAATGTTATTGGCGACCGTGGTAAAGTACTATACTTTAGGCCAATACTTTCCATTAATCCCCAGAGTCCCAGCTTAAACATTTGGCGTATAACGAGCCTTGTCCAATTCCATGAATTGCTGCGATTCGGGCAGGGCTGGAGGGACATTCACATTCATTGTGGCGGTTGTAATTTAGACGTAATATCTACACAATCATGTGTCAGGAAATATATCACTAAGATTACGCACCTACTAACCGTACTATTTGAATCTCCGGACGTTTTGGCAGTCAACCGTGAGGAGGTCTCTTGCCAATCATGAGAGAAGTACCATGCCAATCACGACGTCCCCATGATTGGCCGTCGAAACGTCCGCAGACGAAAATGCTCCAGCTGGAAGGCGCGCCATCTCTGCGCGAGATGTCTCACGATTGTTTGGATGTTCCATCACGATTCAAGCCACAGATCGATCGTCGTTTTTCCCTCGCGGTGCCTGTAAGAATCTAACTGTGGTGTGAATCTGAATTCTACTACAGTGATGTGAATATGTAACATTTATAATTGCGTGAATCTAAAGCTAGTATATAGTAGCATTAACCACTGGAGTCTATCGGGGGTATAAGTTTGTCATCTACAGAGGTGTGAATCTATTTTATGAACAGTGGTTTGTGAATATTTAGGCTACAGTCGTGTACATCTGGAGAGGCCTACGCCTCCTTTGAAAAACAAACACTTTTAATCGCAATGGGTACATATATGAGTATAAACGAAGCAATCCATTTTATCTTCGTTACTATCGTCATCGTGAATATTATTAATCCAGCATGGTGTGTGTGTGTCGACTCTATACAGTGGCATGCATCCACGGGAAAGCCTGGCGACCAATAAACGATAACGTGTAACAGCCACAAACGAACACGAATCTGCAATAATCGACTAAACGTCTTAAGAATGCAACGAAAAAACCTTGACTTAAAGCTTTCGTGACTGCAGGAATTCATATTCTTTGGGTCTTTCGGTACGTGACTTTACTTTACCGAAAGACCCAAAGAAAAATACAACGGAGACCCTCACCCCCATCCATCAATCAATGCACGCCTGGCCACGTGAATCAACACTGCCCCCCTTGTCAAGTCCCCGCCCACCGATCAGCTGATTTCCCCCACGCGCCCCTGGCCACAAGCCCCGCCCCAACACACGCGATTACAAATCCTACCACGTTTAAGCATCGGCGCAAGCCCCACCCCTGAACAGCCGGCGTCCAATGGCAGCGCGCGGAAGCAGCTTATCGCGAGTGGGCAATGCAAAGAGGGGGTGGTGGTTAGCGAGCGCGTTATATATAGCGGGCGGAGCCGCCGTGTTATTGTTCCCGAGATGCCTTGCGACGCGTTGAGCTGTCGCTAAGGGCCGCCTCATTCCCCCCGGCTCCGCCGCCGCCACCACCACCATAGTGCGCTCGCTGCGATCGCAATCCCTCATGGGCGCGACGATCCCGCTCACAAAAACAATATAAAGTTAGGAAAATCGGCCGCGCTCCGCCGCGACCGCGGCGACTTTTGTCGCCGACACGAGCGAGCCCTGCGGCGAGGATGGCGAGCGATTCTCCGGCGAGGAGTCTGGACGACATTGATCTGGCGGCTCTGCGGGTAACTTCCACCGACGTCCTCCTTGCTCCGTCGTCAGTTGTTATTTTTGTTGAGAGCACTTGGCAACAACAGTGTCGTTATCCACGTGTGTGTGTTGTTGGTGCCGCGGCGGTAATGTTGTTTCCCTACTTGTTTCCGTCCTGGGCACCGTGTGTGGTGTGAAGTATGGCCACTACTCGAGTCGAGCAACTTAGAACTTGGGTAAGAGGCCTCGAGGCAGTGTGGGTTGGCCGCTGTGAGGCGAGCGAGCAGACCGACTGGGCCGCTTCACTTGGTGGCCACTTGGCACGGCGGGAGAGAGGCGAAGGCGACTCGTAGACTCTGAGCGAGACGGGCGCAGAGCGACTTTTGGTTGCCCCATTGAAGCTGTAAGTGGCAACTCAAAGAGTCGTTGAGTGGTCACGAGAGCGACCGTGGGCGACTTTGTTGCTCATCGGCGGCGACCGCTTGTTGCTCCTGTAATGAAAGCGATTTTGTTAAAAAAACAAGCAACCAGTTGCTCTAATGACGTGGGGCAACTTGTGTGTTCTTAGGAGTGGCAACGACTGTTGATCAACAGGAGTGACCAGATGCTCTAACGAAAGCGATTTTATTTTTTAAATCCGTTACCAATTTGAACTCAAGTGGCGGCGAATGTGTTGCTTGGCAGGAGTGACCAGTTGCTGTATAGTGGCAGCAAAGTGGAGATTTCTTGAGAGCGACTTGGTCGCACAAGAAGCTATATATGATCCTTATGGCGGTACCCCGGGGTACCGAATAATACAAACTGGCCGAGACAAATAAATATTTTATTTCTGGGACACTATTTTTGTCCAGGGGTGTACTTTACTCCGCGTCTTGGGGTACAAATTAATCCGAAAGCGGTGCCACACTCCGCGATGTTGACACGAATCGAGGTCGATTGCGCTGAAACCCTGAACGCTCGCGTACGCACCGTAGTGGTGCATCGTAGTGTCCAGCTCGTCGAGATGAGTCGATTGCTGCATCGCCGACCATCGACAGACTAAGAATGACTGCATCACGGACATTATGCGAGAGCCGTGGGTCATTATGGAACCCCGGGGTACCGTCGTAAGGTTCATAAAGGAAGTCGCCAGGTCGCCACGTGCATGTCTGGACTCGCCCAGTCACTGAAAACGTAGCGAAAGCACAGCCCTCTTGCTCGATCTACAGCTGGATGAAAGATTCTGTACGATGGCAGTGGGAGGGTTGGTGAAGGGGAACTCGGTCAAGGGACTTGTTCAGATGGCGAGATGTGAACTACCTCTCCCGCCTGGTATGCAGCAGGACGTGGGTTCACTCCCGACCCTGTGACGCCTGTATATTTGGCGTCTTGCTTGTCTCTCTCCCCGTGGTCGCGTGGATTTTTTCCCCCCCTCCACATTTGTGATCAACGTGTTGTGTTTTTAGAGTATTTGGCTGCAATAAATTCCCATGTGATAAGCCACTCTTCGTTGAGCTATCATTTGTGATAGCCAGGTCGCTTCTAAAAAAGAGCTACATAGCTCAGTGGGCATTACCTGTTAAAAATAACTAAATAATTCAATACATGTGACGTGCCACAGATGTCACTTGCGTGGCCGGTAGCTGGGTTTAGAGCGTTGTATGCCCCCCCCCCCCCCCCCGTTAAGTATAAATTACAAACTTTGAACTCTCTTTTAAAGTTGAGGCATGTGACCATTTAAAGGAACCGTGGTCACTTCCACAAAAGGTTTATTTTTTCATGTACAAATGTTACTGTTAATAAGGAAGCTTCAAAGTTTAACTTGGTTGCAGTTCGTTTGTTATTGCTTCTGTTGATATAAAAAAATGTGGTTTGTGTTCGGGCCCGAGACCAGTTTTACGACGCATTTTCCATCTGCCCTCCCTTCCCTCGCTTGCCCAATGTTGCCGCGCCTTGCCAGGAGCCTGCCGGGATATTTGAGTTGGTGGAAGTCGTGGGGAATGGAACGTACGGGCAAGTGTACAAGGTATTTTCTATCCATAAAATTTGCCGTATTACCCTCTCCTTGCTGACACAGATGTGCTGGCGCATTTTAGGCTAGTAAACAATGCACGATGTAACATCGATTATTACGCTCACCAACTCGTTTGTGAGAATTGATTGTTTACAATTGAAAGCGGGGTGGTGGGAAGCCTTTTCTTTTAATGAGGTTTGTCCAGGATATGACTTTAGATTCCTTTGGCGAGCTCAGTGTTGTGCTCAGCCACTGCACTGCAGGTCACAATACTTCTCTCGTGATTCTTAACGTGCACGCTCCCACTCTGGAATTTCCTCCCTTCGCTTCTTTTCTCAAACGCCAAATTTACGGGCATCAGGGTCGGGATCGAACCCACGACCTCTTACATGCAAGGCGAGATGGCCTGATTTGAGCAGAGTTGCCAAAGCATCACGGCTTTAAATCTTAAGTTCACATTCTGTACAAGATTGTCTCGGTCCATCAACCCTTCTGGGTTTGTAAAATTAGTACTTCCTTACGAGGCTGCACCACGTGGATGTGTGCAGAGAGAAGTGGGTAATATATATAATTATCACGTACATAAACTGACCCCTGCCATAGGGATGTGGAATTCCCACCACTTGCTTAGTACCACTTGCTAGAGTTGAACGACGCCCAGCCCTGGTATTCACACGGGAGACCCTTTGATTTGCCTCTTGAGTATTCTGTAAAAATATTTGCCTCTCCCCTGTATTGGCTGACAAGCTTGGGTAAGAACCACAGACGCGTGTGTGGTGAGTGGATCGACCGGCTTAGTGGAAACAAGGTACCCCTTAACGTCCTTTGTTAGCGACAGCTGACAGGGCTCCCTTTATATCCGGGCGGCATAGCGTTGCATCTTACTTGAGACGAACAGCAACAGAACCGACCAGTTCAATGCAGTTGATCACGAAAGGAAAATAGGCATGCCGTGAGTGGTGCATACCTCTGTATGCTTTGTGAATTTGATGGTTCATTGCAGATACGGTAATGAATGGCAGCCAGGGCAGAGGTGTGAAACTGTCAGTCATGCCCTGTGATTTGATGAATCGTTGTGATTCGGCAGTTGCGATTTTCTATTTACTTTTGCTGTTGTGGTGCATGTAGAATCAATAACTTCTGCAGGGTTTTGCATGAGAAACATTGTCAGCCATGATCTATCCTCCGCTGAATGAAGGGCTCCCCGAACAATCGCCAATTCTCAGTCTCCTGCGCATGCACTTAGTTTATCGCTCTGCCTCTGTAATGGACATCCTCTCAGCTGTATTTCCTTCTTTGGCTGCCCCTCTGACATTTGTCTCAACCACCGGCCATCAAAAGTAGTAAAACAATAATTTATTCTCACATGCAAGAATTAATGCCTTTGTATTGTGCATAAGAACCCACTTCGATGGATGCATCAATACACATCTGTAATCTGAGTGGTTGTCATATGTTAAAAAGGCATACATTTCTTTTCGAATAATAAATGATCATATACACTCTGGTATGTGGTTCTCAACCTGTGGTCCAACATACCACCAGTCTACAAGGCCATGGAACAGTTGCAGATGTAATTTTTGTGACCAAACGCCATGTGTTTTTACTGGATGGTGGTGCGTGAAAAATGTTTGAGAGTTGATGGTGGTCCGTGGGTCCATAAATGCTCTGAACTGCTACTCTAGAATTAACATAGAAACACTTGCACAATGTATTTAATGTGCACACAATGTACTCTTCAGTTTGTATGCAGTTTTTAGATGGCCTCTAAATATCGACGTTTTAAAAAGCAGCATGTACACTTTGCTTGGTAGGTGGAGTGTTGAGTGAGTATGTAACACATGACAATGGCATTGAGATAGGTGTCTTTATTCATGAAACGGATAACGTGGATTCCAAACCGGAATTAAAAATCTCGATGAATGGCACAAACCCGGGGGGGATTTGAGTCATTGAGTAGGAAAAACAGTTGCAGCAGAACAACAATTTTAACATGGAAAAGGGGATGTATCGGTACGCGTTAGTGTTTCCTGCCATCGCTGGAGGAACCGGAGGCCGCGGGGCTTGAGGGTAGCGTGTGTCAGATCCGCTCGAGTTTATTTTGGCTCGGCGTGTGACGATGGGCCCAGTTCTCTCTGCCACCACGCCCAGCCGTCGGCATCAAGCAACAGGTTATTTTCCGCAGGCCGATTTGTTTCGATGCAGGGCGTCCGTATGGGTGCAAGAGCCAAATCGCCCGGAAAGCGGCTGATTGCGTTAAAGCAACGCAGTGATTGAGTCTGGATAACTATTGGATAGGGGACCCAAGATGAACAAGTTCGAGGCTGTGGGGGCCTCATGGTGGGCAGTAGAATGCAGTTCAGCAAAATGTGTTGCCGTTGCTGCACTTTTTTGTTTCCACATCTATGCTCTATACATTCACCAACCCGCACTGACCTGCATGGTGAAATAGCCCCTACATGGTGTGTGGAGGGCCCTCATCCAGCAGTGGCTTGACAAAAGGGTTGTACATGTACATTCTGTACCAGCTGTCGTCAAAAGCCTACATTACTGCTTCATTTGTCATTGATGGAAACATTTGCTCTAACCTCCATATATTATGGTTTGGTCTTAGAAATTTTGTGTACGAGTGCTGCTGAATTTTAGGGGAGGAATAACACGTGGATTTATTGATTAATATGAATTTATTTTTGAAATCTCACTGCATCAAATCCCGTGTTACAATCAACATTGTCAAAAAGTCCATGACATCAGACCAGATGGTTCACTTGTCGGTACCAACTTGGAGTGGCATAACTTTAGTTGTTCCCACTTCTTTGCGTGACCTATACCAGTGAATTATGTGAACCATTTGAAACATAAATTACATTTCTAAAGCACTTTTCTACTTGGTACACAAGGCCCTATACTCTACCAAGAAATGTCATCGTCCACGGGGAGGAAAAATAGAAGCTCATTCATAAACTAAGACTATAAATGTGTATTGGTGCAGGTTTTGAGCGGATTATCAAACACTAATTCATTGTTGTTAGCCATGTTAATAAATCGGTGTGATGAAAATGTTTCTGCCTTAGGTGGTAACAATTTCTTCCACTCTGGTCCTTGGACTAAAACATAGAATTGGTTATTTGCTCGAATCACAAACCTGAACTGCAGCAGTTCATCAAATCTCCACAGGGGTGAATCGTTAACACTCCCCTACTGCATAGCTTTGGGTTGTAGAATGATTATCTGCCTCGTGCCAAGCGCAGGCAATTTCATTCCAACTGCACATGGCCAGATAGCCGCGTTTGCCCGCCAACAGCACATGACACGTTTTTTTGCTTGTTAGAAGAGGGCGACGCTTGTAGTCTGGCCCACTGTTGCCTCGAAATCGCTCTTGTGGATTGTAAGCACGCATTTATGGGCTTTCCTCCTTTTTTAAGACCTGCCAAGTTTGACTTTCAGCCTGTTCTTTAATTGGTTCCAGAAGCTTAATTAAATAGCCTGAGGTGGGGGGGGGGTTGAGAAACGAACACCGCTATGTTAGCGCAGCGTCACGACTCGGACCAGTGCTCTTTACTTTCAGAGGGGGGGGGAAAGAACATCGCGGTGCAGCAGTAATAATGCATTACAAAGATGTTATTCAACAGGAAGCGTGTTTACATGCACTTTGTAAACTACCATCATTGCTTACTTTGTGTTCATTAATAATGCAGCGGTATGTGGTGGATGTCAAGGTCCGATGTTGAGATAGGACGTTTTGAGATTTATGAGCTCAATGATTTATATTGCAGTGTGGCCAAGTTTGTTTGCCAACCAATTACATTACCTGGTAAAACGTGAAATCGAACAAAATTAACACAGCCGTAGCAGAGGGAGAGGACAAACGTTCAGGATCGTCAACAATTTGTCTAATGGGCTTTTGCCGAGTGACGAATGGGTTGAGAAACACGTGACCTCTATGCAATTCCATTGCTCTTTTATACTAAGTGAAGCACATACAGTTTTAGTACATTGTGCAAGGGGAACCTGGACACCACGGCTAATTTCAATGGTTCGTGATATCTTAATCAGTCTTGCCCCACTGCCAACGACCTGCACTGACCAGCTTAGTTAAGTCTTTTATATAAATCTTTACATAACCTGACCTATGTGTTGCGCAGAGCCCTTCTTTCAGCAGTGCAGTGACAAAGGGCTTAAAATATAAATTTAAAAAAAAGTTTATTAATTTAGTTATTAACAACTTAAACATATTTAGGCCGTGACAGTCTTGAGATTTGCTTGAGTGGCTATTTAAAATGTGATGTTCAGCTAACAGCAGCGTGCCGCAGTAAATCTTTGGACAACAAACCGATTTATTGAGTGGCACTGGGAATTGAAACTGGCTCGGTGGCGAGCACCGTGACCACTCGGGCCATGCGGCCACCCCCTGGCTCCTCCGTCTCTGTGGCCAAAATATTTTGCGGAGCATCTTCTCCACGAAACATGCGGCGAGGGTGTTAACGATACCGAGGGCAGGCTATTTTGTGCCGCAGTATATTGGCAATTTAAACGTACGCATCGGGTTAGAATACCTCCTCCGGAATAGAGTTGTTAAACAAAATAACCGGTGAACTGGTAACCGTATTCACAATCAATTACCGGCTTACGAAAAACAGGAATCGCTAATGTTTTTCCAGTGAAACGTTTGTAAAGAATGCGCCGAATGGCACGCACGAACTTACAAACGCCGAATGGCACGCACCAACGTACAAATGCCAAAAAAACTATTTTAACAGCATGACCCAAGAAATGCCGCACGATCAAACCCGCTGTGTTTGATATTGCGCCTCTTCTGGAGAAATGAAGTGCTTTCTAGATAAAACATTACCTGTCCTGCCCGTTTCCTCCCATGAGTTTTTATACCGTCGTCTTTGCCAGCTGTTATAAAAGGATCATGCAGACTAAAAAAAATAGCTTTGTACAATCTGGCCGCCTAATTGAATGTAATTAGTGTAGCATTATACAAGACGACCTGATTTTAATGTGCA